AAACAACGCCAAACTACGGCAAACTACGCCAGAAAATAGGCCTAATTATGCCCGAAAGTACGCTTAACTATGCTAAAAACTACGCCTAAGCACGCGAATAAATCATGGAGTAGTTTAGCATAGAATACTACTCCTACGCCAAAGATTTTACGCCTTCCTACGCGAAACTATACCCTAAGTATAGTTCCGATACATTTACACCGTACTATTTAAAGTAACATGACAGTATCTTGAACTCATTTGGCATGAATTTAAGATGCCATCACGTTGCTATCATGGTGAAATTAGAATTCCATCGTTGCATGGGTACTTTGATATCAAAGTCCAACTTGGAGGGCTCATTTCACATGCGAAATGCTGCGCTCCTTATATTCTTTCTTAGGTGATTCTTATTTAGAAGTTTATCTCCGCTGTGGCCCTCTGTCGGCTGAAATACATAATGCTCCCGGATGAGTAAGAGTAATTTCGCGTAAAATAGCGTACTTCGTCACTAAAAATTAAAAATATTGTACTTTGGCATAGTTTGGCATAGAAACGTACTTCAGGAAACGATTTTTTCGTGCAACCGCATACGCAGATTGTCGTAGTTTAGCATAGTTATTTCTATGCCCAACTATCAGACTGTAAAGTGTAATTCCGCATAAAAAACGTAGAGAATGGCATACATACTTACTTGAAATACTATGAAAAAATAAAAATTAGTTTGGCATAGTTTGGCATAGAAACATACTTCAGGAAACGATTTTTTTGTGCAACCGCATACGCAGATTGTCGTAGTCTGGCATAGTTATTTCTATGCCCAACTATCAGACTGTAGAGTGTAATTACGCATAAAAAAACGTAGAGAACGGCATACATACTTACTGGAAATACTATGAAAAAATAAAAATTAGTTTGGCGTAGTTCGGCATAGAACAGGAAGTAATGATTATTAGTTGCACGTTGGCGTACTTTCTATGCCTAGGTTCTATAACTAGGTTCAAGTACGTTATTTTACATCTTTCGCGTAGTTTGGCATAGTTATTCCTATGTTTAACAACGCGATTCTACACGTTGTTAAACATAGAACGCCACAGTCATTGAAGTAGAAAGGCGTACTTTTTGGCATACTTTGGCATAGAAATTTTTCCACTACGAAGACTCGATAACGCACTTTATATCCTGTCTCTCAACAGAAATATATTCTCCGTGGGCTTGCATCAAGAAAGAACATCAAGTTATCTTTAAGGCCACATCAGTCACAATCAGACAGAATAGAATACCCATGGCTTTTGGAGTGTCTTATGGCGTAAATCTATATTGTATGTTATTTCAAACCGTCTTTAATGCTGAAGCAAACGTAACTGCCACCTCGAATCTACATCTATGGCATAAACGTCTTGGTCATGTGAGTTTAAAGTCGCTTATCGAGATGAACAAGCAAGAACTCCTGAATCTTGGATGAATCTCTCAAGACACTGAATTATTTTGTGAGCCATGTCAAATGGGAAAGCAGCACAGACGCTCGCTCAAGAATACAGAACCTAGAGACATATAATGCTAGGAAAACTTATCCATACGGATATGGGCAGAATCCATGCAGAACGAGTCAATAAGGAGATCGTGTTTCTACGTTATTTTCAAAGATAATGCATCAGATTTTACACATATATACTTCCTTCGACACAAATCGAACGTATTCGAGAAAGGACATAATAAAGAAAAGGCCGTTTTTTGCCCACTAACGGAAAAGTGTAAAACATAGTGAATTTTATAGATTTCGACTTGCTGAACACGATGATGCTATTAGTTTTCATTGAAAATGCAGGGAATATCGTCATTTTTCGAGTTAAAGTCCTATATTTTACCCTCTCTCTGTAATACATGATTTTCAATACGAGTGGATTTGTCACGAGTGCTAAATTGCGCAAGTGATAATTGCGCTACGAAATGTGCCAAAACGATACTCTAACAATTTACGAAATCATATTATTTAAAACAAAGTAAACAGAATCAATTAATATAAAAAAAGACCCTGAGAAATGCAGACTCAGATGTTGTAGAAGTACTGGCCTCGTCCGATAAGCAGAACGCTGACGGATCAACGCGGACGGCCCAAGGTTGACCCCCAAAATATAAAATATAAGCGCGATCCCATCTGCGGTCGGCGGTCAGAAAATCGGTCAAGATAATAAGTATAACGCGTCGCGTCGCGCTGTCTGAATCATTACAGTAAATATATCGCGAATACGATAAGTGAAGTGTAATTGTAAATCAATACAACTTGTGACTTGTAGTAATAAATGTGTTATATTTTACTCAAATCTACAAGATAGTTTTAAATTGTGCGACCCTTTCTCGAGTTCTGCGTGGATCCCGGACCGTGCCGTACAGCGCAGCAGCACAATAGATTATTTCATGTGAAATTTAGATGCGAAGGTTCCTAATATTGTTAAACGGAAATCTAATAAATAAGATGAATTCGAAATAAAGAATCCAAAATAGCGAATACCATTTGGCCATTTTTTTGCTGTCGCCAACTGCTTTCTATAAACCGCTCTCAGCCAGGCTCAGGAACAACGAGCATGGATGTGGCGGTTTTCTGTCCCCTCTTTTTTTGTGTTTTATGTATTTTTTGTTTTTTTTATTTTTTGTGATTTGTATTTTTTTATATGCTTGTAACGATGCACCCCCATAAGTGCATCATTCCCGGCAACACCAACT